ATTCTGCAAAGATGAGTGGGCCAAAATTCCTCTACAGCGCTGTAAAAGACTCATTGCCAGTTATCGCAAACGCTTGATTGCAGTTGTTGCTGCTAAGGGTGGCCCAACCAGTTATTAGATTTAGGGGGCAATCACTTTTTCACACAACTGTATGTTGATCATAAATGTATTTATAATAGGGCTGGGCTACTAATTAAGTTTTATTTTTAAATTAAGATTTTGTCTTCCAACGATTATGAAAACAAGACTATTTTTGCCGCATTCCGTTTTTCAATGATGCTCTGGTTTTGTCTTGTGTTATAAATCCAGCGCACTCCTCGTCTTTACAGCGTGTGCTTTCGTCCGGCTCGGCAGGTCAGGGATGTTTGTTTGGTGTGCTGGGCTGGTCGATATGGGGAGAATATAATATCACTATATTTTTGACAAAACACCTTGTATATAATGATATTGAGACAATATTTTCGGGTTGACCACTGGTGCTTTTACAAAATATTCACACAATGAGATTTTTGATAAACGATCATCAGTAATGTGGTAAAAAAAATGATTATAACGGATAATAAACTAGCAAGAACAGTCCAGTAAGCTCAGAAAATAACACCATTGTATTACTGCAATGCAGCCTTTAAAGCCAGAAACAAACAACACGTAGGCCATTTTATGTTATCCAAAATCTAAGATGACGTCTAGTCTTGAACCACAATATTGATATAATATTGATGTAAAGCCCCGGCCTACCTACCGACCCGTCCTGAAACACGGACCCCTTCTCGTTTACCATTCTTTGTGTGTGAATTTTTTACCGCGTCATCACCATTCATATCTATAGTTTTTTATGCGGCCTTTGGCTGCGTCTGAAATGCGATATTAACATGCTGTTTTTCAGAATTGTGTGCATTGGTCCATTTTTTGTGTGTGTACAATGGCGAAAAACTATAATAAAGCATTTTTATTCCCGCCCAGTTGTTAATACTGCAAATGTATAAATATTGCAATACTTTCATCAGAGGGCCATGGGGTCAATCACCTTTGTGTGACCTCCTTCGTGAGAGATGACCTAAATCTTATTTAAATCTTTGAGATCGCCACTTTACATACAGTAATTGCAATGTCAATAATGACCAAAATAATTGTAAATTATGATTTTAGCACCCTATAATTTATACATTTTCTGATGTTAAGTGTTATCAGTACTGTGCATTTTCTGGAATATTGTGTTTTCGATGAACCTGATGAACAGGAACCCTCCAAGCAAGCAAATCCAGACATACTCTGAGGCTGTGAGCTATACTGGCTGTTAAAGTAAAGTGCAGGAGAGGTTTCTGTGGACTTCCTTCATGGCTGGATGTGTGGGTTCTCTTAGAGCCACCTGCTGTCATTTCTAACTGGATCAAATAAAAATCCCGATCCATTACAGCACTATATCTCCGAGAACACTTAACTGACTCGGAACCTCATTTCTACAGTATTAGCGTAGCATCTAAAAGCTAATATTCACAGTTCCCGTGCGAGAACCTACTTTCGCAGTCCTGCTCATCGGAGTGATCGGCGCAGTCCGGTTCGCCGTTGCAGCGCCGCTGGGCATCAATGCAGCCTCCTTTGTCACACTGGAACTGGAAGGCTGAGCAGACGGGGCAGTTCTCTTCGTCGCTGCTGTCGTCGCACTCGGGGAAGCCGTCGCAACGCCAGGCCATCGGGATGCAGTCGATCTCCCCCGTGGAGCAGGTGAACTGCTCTGTGGAGCAGGTGGGAGGCTCTGATATGGACAGGGAGATAGAGGAGGCAGCATACGTTCAGCATGGGGAGCATCCCGGCGGTCAGACTCGTGGGGCAGTGTCAGTTCTGTTTAACAAACACTGTGACGGAATATGTTCGTCAATAACCTTTGGCTCCATGACGAAGCGATGACGAGACCGATGTCATTAAACGTTAAGCGTGACGATATCAACATGCAGTATCGTTGACGGAAAAAAGAGGAGACTAAAATGTCATTTGGAAAATAAAAGAATTGACCAAATCTCTTATTTCCGTCACTTTTTCACCTTTTTCTTTCCGTCTCTGTCTCGCTCTTTCAAACTCAGACAACACACACTGCAGTGCTGAGTCCGTGTCTTTTCTTCTTGGGTCACATACAACACAACAGTGCAGATCGGCTCTCATAATCGACCAGATGGGTGCAACTCACTAACCCGCCCATCACTAATGAGCACAGTCAGGAAGACTCGGGGGGGCAAAACTGTATTCTTAATCATTCAATTTGTGTTTTTCCATCAAGATCAAATCTATTCTAATCTATAAAATTTGACTTGAGTTTGCCTAAAATGACAAAATCCTTGCTCACCTCCACAGTGCAGCAGGTTCTGCAGTAGCACCAGGTGCACGGGACAGGAGCAGCGAGGTGTTCCGTCGCCCTTAGCGATGCAGATGTGGGAGCAGCCCCCGTTGTCACGGGAACAAGGATGGGATGCTGGAGAGAGGAAACTAATTATTGCACACCACCCAACAAGGCCTGACTTATGCAACCTGTTGCAAAGGACACGGCAGTAACTAGTGCTGACGGTCCGTACCAAACTCCTGTGGGTCCATCTCCTCCACAGCGTGGATGGAGGTCAGGTAGGAGATCCGTCCCTGTATGCGCGTACGTCCGTCTCCGGTCAACTTGTCCACCCTCTCGATCATCTGCTGCTGCCGGTCGATCCAGTACAGATGATCGCCCAGAACCGTCAGCCCCGTCGGCTGCAGAATGTTGGAGTCCTGGAGGACAATGCGATTGGCTCCTGGTGGAACGATTTCATCAGATAAGAAGAAAGAAAATAGTATGTCCCCACCAATTCAGTCAAAAAACAAATCGATATATATCTGATACGGCATTTTTTCAGCTTAGGTAGACTTTTTTTTAACCATCTAACTTCCCGTTTATTCCTGTCACAGTACAGCAGCTTCACTGTAATATTTACTCCAGTGACACTGCTGCTCCACTGAGTGAACTCCTTCCTTTTACTCTGTTGTGAATGAAACTTAACCAGCATATTTAAATGGAATATTTAAGGGCGTTCCTTATGCTAACAGATTTACAACAAGTTTGGGGAATCTGTGTGTTACATATTGTGTATTTATTGTACATTTCTGTTATGTTTGGTAGTTCTTCATTTATCTGAACCACAAAAAAACACCTAAATTAAGCCAAATTTCATAGCCAGAAACAGTAAAATCAGATATTATTGTCCTTGAATGTATCATTTGTGACGAACACTTCCTGAATCAAAACAATTTTTTTTATCAAAGTCACTTTTTTTGATGTGAAATTTTAAATGAGACACACAAATGTGACAAGAGCAAAAAAAACACCCTGAAACTACTTCTGGTTCAGAGGGTTTAAAGGTGCACTAATATGTGTTTTATTTTAATCATGTCTGTTTACGGTAACTCACCCGTCAGGTCACTGCTCTCGATGTGTTTGAGGTCGGCATCGACCCAGAACAGTTTCCCCAGTTTGTTGTCCAGAGCCAGAGCCACTGGTCTGATCAGACCAGTGGTGAACAGAGACTCTCTCTCTGTCCCGTCCAGACTGGCTCCCTCGATCTTAGCTGAGCGCTCCTGCACTGTGGTGAAATACATGTATCTGCAAGGAAGGGGGGGTTGACACATTGATATGAGACATAGCTCATAGCTGCAGAGAAACCCCAGTAAGTTCACAGTACACAGTGCATTCTTTTGCGGAGGAGAGCTCACCCTTTCTCAGCGTTGACCACAATGGCCCGCGGCTTGTCGGTGTCGTCCTTCAGGACCACGCCCACGATGTGTCCGTCCATCCTCTGGACGTTGACAGTGTTGGTTGTCTCACAGGTCCAGTATATGTGGCGGCTGTAGGGGTCCAGGCTCAGGTCGTGGAGCTGGTTGTCCACCGGCTGAACACTGCTGCTCACGATCATGGACGACTGCAAACGGATCAAAGGTCATGAGTTCAACATTTTACTCAATTTGATATTTAGTCATGTGGCGCTTTATAGATAATCCTGACTCATTGAGAAAATGAAAATAATACCTTCATACATAAAGCACATTAAAACACATTACAAAAAGCTTTACATACAATAAAAAAGCGACCAGTTAATAAAATATTATGATTAATACAACAAAAGATAATAAAACAACAAAAAAGTGATTTAAAAGAAGACGATGTGTTCCCTGATCTGGTCATTCCACAACAGAAAAGGCCCGCTGACCTTTATTTTGAAGGTTTGACCGGGGAACGGCCAGCACCAACCTACCAGAGGATCTCAGGATGCATTCAGGCTCGTAGGTCGGCTACATATTCTGGAGCTAAACCCCCTCGATAACAAGCCTTACAAGTGACGGTTACATTTTTAAATCCACTCTAAGAGACACTGGGAGCTGATGAAGGGAACCAGTGTGAGGTGTTCTCTCCTGTTGGGCCTGGTTATGTATTAGCTGAAGTGTATCAAGGTTTAGTTGTGTGAGTTGCATGAATTACTGTTTCTAAGTTCTTGGCAGATAAACAAATTTCAGATTTTTGACTATTTCTTATTTTTCAAATGGAAAAACATGATTGCACAGCAGAACTAATATGCCGGTTTAAGTTAAGGTGGTTATCAAAGACAATACAGAGGTTCCTGCTAGAGTTATTAATGTGAAGGTGCTTTCACGAGCCAGCATTCAATCAGTTTTAAGCTCTGGTGCGGTTCATTTGGACAGTTGTGAAGGCAGTAAATGTACTGTGGTGCAGAACAAAACAACCAGTCCTAGACCACTTACAAAAGACGGTTTCTGACTCATTAGACTGAATGTCTATCCCGTAATGAAGTGATTAGTAACAACCCGCTCACAGCGATCGAGTGCAACTTCCACACAGTAAATCTGGAAATTTCCAGGTGATCCAACTGATTAAAACCTGCTGATTGCACCGTTAGTTTTGGTTCCGGTGAGGAGAATTCTCTGTAAACCACTTTGTTTGGGGAGGAGAATCAGGATAAACCTCCTAACCTTCTCCTAACAAGTTACTGTCCCACAAAAGAACTCCATTATCAAGATCTGACATGTCAGCGTTTAGGTGTCACTGTGTGTCTCAGGGTGAGTTTCGTACCATGGCTCCGTCGTCTCTGGCCCTGCGTATGTTCTGTCGGCCGTCCAGCCAGTAGACCAGCCGGTCCAGCGGGTCGTAGCTGACGGCTCGGACATTCCTGAGGACGTGGATGGGCAGGATGATGTCGGGACTCTGCCCTCCCAGCACCATCCGGCTGATGCTCGCCTTCTGGGTGAAGAGCAGGAAGCTAGAGGGAGCTGCAGACAGAAAGGCAGAGGAGTGAGCGCCATGAGTGGACACAGGGTTGTTCACAAGGGAAGGCTGAAGTTTGCACGATGCCTATTGTGAAATACAAACACGGGGGTCAAAACACAGAAGCCCGAGACACACGCACAAACACATTAGACCAGCTGGAACCGCTCTGGATGATGGTCCAATGAATTAGGATGTGTGGAAGGTCTGGAAGCAACACAAGCATGCTGGATTTCAGTCTGTGTGTGTGTGTGTGTGTGTGTGTGTGTGTGTGTGTGTGTGTGTGTGTGTGTGCAGATTGCCACATAGTCTGTGTGCTGGCTGTTGAGCAAGAGGCAACTGAGGTTAATCCTTTCACCTTTTACTTCCAGTCATTTTTGTTTCATGTTGTCGTCGTCTTAACTAAAGCCGACTGTTTGTTCCACAGAATCATCTTAGAAACTGTCATTGAGAACTGTTTGGAAAGATTTGGCAGGTGATTGGATGAACCGCCTGTCAATCAAACTCTTACCGAAGCCGTCTGGAGAGAGAAACGTCTTTCAGTGTTCAGTGTTCTCTTTGCTCTTCTTTCAATGAGGAAATGCTCTCCAGTTGTACTGCAGCGTCTATGCTAACCTGTTTAGCCTCCTCTCCACGTTGCGTTACACATGGCCGTCACTGCCCGTAGCTTCTCACAGGACCCCGATTTGTTTGTGTTTTTGTCATGTTTTTCTTGTGTAACAAATTGGCTACAACTGCATGTCATTGTGCAACACTGTGTTATCCTTGAACCCTTGGCAATTCCACCCATCTCACTGTTAATGTTTTACAACTCAACTGTGAAGTGTTTCAAGTAGCTGAACCTTAGACATATCAAAATATGTTGGAAACATAAACCAGCCTATTTCCAGCTCTTTCTACAATCTTTCTGAAGTCACTTTGTTAGTAAAAGTGCAGTGATCTTCCTACCTCATTGTGTCTGATACTTACAACTTACGTATGTTTAGTAACTCTCAGCATTAGCTGGGAAATTAGTCTTTGAGGCTGGACCTCTGGCTAAATGACTTCATTTTGAACAGCAGCAGCGTGGTGAGTATGACATGTCTCTGTTCAGTGTTTTGGCCTTTACTGGAGAACAGCATTTGAACACCAGCTATTATTTTAGAGCAGCAGTACTGTATTTTCCTGCCTTGTTCAAGGACACCTTAACTACACTTATTAAAGGAAGGGTCCAGTCCTGGGATTCAACCCAGTGGCCTTCCGTTCCCAGACATGCCTGTGCGTCTCTCCCAGCAGCTCAGTACTTACAGCTACAATTTCGTCCATCGGGGTTCAGAGTGTAGTGGGAGGCGCAGCGGCACTGGGCACCGGCGGGCGTGGCCAGGCAAAGATGGGCGCAGTTGCCGTTGTTGTGGGAGCACTCGTTGGTTCCCTCCTGGCGGGAGGAGTGGAACACCAGGATGTCCAGCATCAGCTCCAGCTGGCCCTGAGGACACAGTGAGGCTCAGTATCTCTGAATTTACCAACTGATATTTTGAGCCAATGTATAAGCCTTAAATATCTCTTTAAGAACACATTAGGATCACAATAACTGTAAAAATAACATATTGCATTTGCTGACACCCCTAAATCGAAGTGGTTCCATACCTGCAGCACCACCGTGCGGTTGAGTCCGCTGCGTTTGTCTGCCCGCTCGATGCTGCGCAGGTTAAAATCCGTCCAGTAGATGAAGTCCCGGTACTGAGTCAGACCGAAGGGGTGAGGGAGGTCGTCTACGATGATCTCCCTCTGAAGGCCTGCAGGAGATACGACAACATCTTCATGTCATCATCTGAGCATCAAGCAAAGCCTCCACCGTCATTGCAGATTTGCATACAAGTAAATGGAGATCAGGCGTGTGTTCATCATCAGGAGATTCATTGAAATGACAGAGTTGGCCTGATGGTGGCACTAGAGGAAAGGTCATAAAGTCTCCTGAATCAGTACGTTTCCCATTTCTTCTGCTGTGAGAATGTGAACTGCAAATCTCGTGCATCAGTTTTAGAGATTAGTCTGGTAAAGACAGACAAATAGATAAAGAGATGAGGTAGTAAATAACCTTCACTAATAGACACGCGGTGGGCAGCAACTATTCAGTGGTTGTGCAAAACGCACAAGCCATTCAATGGGTCGTGATAATGCTAATATTGTTAACTGCATCATGGATTCCCACTTTGTGTGTATCACAAATTATTTGTTTCGACCAATTATTTTTAAGTCAAAGTTCACTCATAAGGCCATGAGAAGTGAACGCTAGAGACTGGACCCTTAAATCTCTTTGGTTTTAACACAATTTACAAGGTCTCAAATATACTTTCACCCTCAATTCAACAATGTAGTCAATAACCAGGTCGGTGTTCTGGTGTACTAACTTCTAATCCTGTGTCAGAGGTGCGTGTTTGGATATGAGTAAGCAGAAGGTTTGTTGACAGAGCATGGTTGAGCTCTTATTCATTAATTTTATCCTCCTGAGCTGTGGATGGACGTCAACAGTCCTGTACAGTTTCCTGCTGCACCTCCGTATTTGTAAGCCACGCCCAATCCTGAGTGATCCTGTCAAACTTGTGGATGAGCTTTAAACACTATATAGTCTGGAGGAGATGAGGTGGTTCAACACTGTTACAACTGAGGCCAAATTATTACCTATCATAACTAAAAACAAGACATTTGAAGACTTTTTATGACCTAATGTTTAAAAAAATCTAATATATTCTTGAAGGGTTTGTTAAGGATCTCCCGGAAACATGAAACATACATACATTCTGCTACCATGTTCATTTCAGATGTTAACTGAAAGTGTGTGCCATAAGTGTGCAATTTGATATCTTCAGGAGTGAGTCCTAAAGTCCAGAAATGAGTTTGAATTCTGGTTCTGTCGTTTGAATGTGTGTTTTTGGCTAGATGCCTGAAATAAGGTCTGTGGTTAACACAAGCTGAAGAGATGTTAACGTTTGGTTCTACGATATAAAACTCTCCTGAATTTGTTTTACGTGTCTTAAACAAGGCGGTTCCTAACAAGCGTTTAAATGAGACTACAAACCGTCATCGCTAGAATACTCGTCCTCCTTTAGCTTAGTGGTGGAGAGGTGAAGTCAAGTGACCGTGGTGTAGTTCCTTTATAGCCTAACGTTAGCTTTTTACTTGTAGCGATTGCATTCCCGCTTCAAAAATCAGATAAAAGGTGTTCATCTGTGAAGATTCTCTTGCTGAACAAAACGTGAAAGTATCATAAACATTTGTTTGCCACAGAGATTATTTTCTGCAACAATCCAATGGCTTGTGCGTGGTTGTTGGTGCGTGTGTCTGAACCTTGCATGTTGGTGCTTTCGATCATGCACATGTCCAGGTCAGTCCAGTACAGGCGATGGTCTACGTAGTCGATGGTCAGTCCGTTGGCCCGGCCCACTTTGTCCACCAGGGTTGTGACGGTGCTGCCATCCATGTAGGCTCTGGCTATACGAGGTCGACCCCCCCACTCTGTCCAGTACATGTAGCTGCGGAGACAAATCACCCATTTCAGCCCGGGACGAGTGCACAGGGAGTCCAGAAAGGGTTACTATCGCTTCCCTAAAATCATTTTTTTTCTGATACAATATCTAATTGGATCATCTATTCCAGAGTGAGAACCTGTTTCCACTTTGTAAAAATTTGTTTTGTTAACTTCTATGAAAGGAGACAACTTGTCTTCATTAACGTGTGTGCATAAGTATGTGATCATAAAATGACATCAGATGCCCCACGGGCGCGCGTGTTGACAGTCCTGCGCCAATTACTTCATCGAGATACCACCGAGTGAGTGACATGTGCGAGGGAATTTGACACGCTGGCACAGGTACTTAACGCAAACACAAACACACACACACACAGAGGTGAATGAGAGTGTCTCGAGGTGGTTTGGCCGAGGATGAACAGTGATTATAACAAAGAGGCTTATTAGCAGCATCCCTCTCTCGGCTGGAGGTTATGGGGGGGAAAGAGGCAGGAAGCTGGCTGTTGTACCTACATACCAACAATGTGACATCACTGCCTCAGAAGGAGTGAACAGACACGCTACATGAAGTCATTGGCACCAACTCGTGCCCTTGAAAGACGCGGACCTCCAGCGTAATACAGGTGTCTCACAGTGACTCACTTCCACTGGGCTGTTCCACAAACTGTTTCGAAGCCACACACTGTACTTCACACACTTGTCCATGTTGGAAGTGGAATGTTGAAAATACACAAGGGAAGCCGAATGACCAGGCTGTAGATGTTTTGCATAATTTAGCAAATTTGACCAATATGTCCGCCAGTTTTTTAATGAGCCATTCACATATTGCTATTGAGATGTAGCAAGTAAAATATTCTGTGGGACAGATAGAGCTCCGGTTAGTCCTTCGATTAAATGATTAACTTCTCCTCCATCTATTTACCGTAGACTGTTATTTACAGAAGAAAGAAAAGATATCTGGCAGCTGTGATTGGTTGTTCCCTGACACATGATATGTGTTGAATGCTGCAGCATTCCAAAAGTAGGACTATTTTTTAAATTGGGACACAGCCGTGAATTTGAAGGCCCAACAAAGAAAACACAACATGGCCCCTAAATGTTGGAGTTCCCATTCCTACCCATTGGCCGGGTCCAGCGCCAGTGATCGAGGGTTGTCCAGCGAGCGCGGGTTGTCAAGATCCTTGCAGACCAGAACCTGACGGTACTGGCCGTCCAGCCGGGCCACCTCGATGCGGCTCGTGCCTGTATCGGCCCAGTAGATGTTGCGACCCATCCAGTCGACGGCCATGCCTTCTGGGTAGTCCAGCCCAAACTCTATGACATGTTCTACAGAGCTGCCGTTCATATATGCTCTGCTGATTGTCTGAGAGAAAGAGAAAGGAGTGAGAGTTCAGTTCAAAGTCGTGAAATCCTAAATAAGCCAAAAACATAAATTTGAATAGAAATACACATAATCAACATCCTAATTTGAAGATTGGAACCAACTAAAACTAATAATGTGTGCCAAGTGTGTAGAGGAGCTATGATGGCCGACGCAAAAATGCCAATGTCTCTCTTTAGAGTAAGTGTTTGATGTCCATGATGTTGATATGAACGGCTTATTCTAAGCCAACGAAGACACAACAATTCCTATTTTCAGGTGATTATAAACTAATGAAAAGTTATTGAGCCGTCCTCGACCAAAGAAATCCTTCGTCGACTAACACTTATACAATTTTGTTTCGATTAGATGATTTATTTTCCCCACAAAGAATCACACTAAAGCACCACTTTAAATATTTTGCTTCGCAGAGATGTGTTCATAATTCTCTTACAAATAAGTCAATCAGCATGAAAAACAGGACAAACAAATTTAAGAAATCTTATGACGTCTAAAACTAAAATGACCGATAAGTCAGCTAATCTCTACATATTTATTACATTTCTGCCAATAGATGCCCCTAAATCCTACACACTGGACCTTTGAATACAATTTAATGATTTGCGTTTAACTTGAGTTCCCCCTCAAACATCAGTACATTCCTCCAGCCCACCTTGGCCTGTATGTCTGTCCAGTATATTCTCCTTTCAGAGACATCAAAGTCGAGAGCGGAGGCCTCTTTCACTCCCGTCAGAGGAATGGGCACGTCGTTGCTGTTGGTACCCAGAGAGATACTCCTGATGTTATCCCTGAGGGAAAAACATAGCATTTTGCACATTTAATGCGAGTTAGGACCTCACCGACACTAATCCATTCAGTTTTCACACACATTTATTGCTGTTCGGGGTCATGAAAAAGGCAGGGCTGGAGGCAAAGCCACTTAAGCTGAAACAGAAGTTGAAACGGGCGTGAAACCAAGTCAAGAGTGAGACGACGAAAGAGTTAAAGAAACATGAAACAAAACAGTGGCCGTTGTTAACCTTGTCAAGAGATGCTGTGCCTTTAACTACAGTTGTGTGAAAAAGTGTTTGCCCCCTTCCTGATTTCTTATTGTTTTGCATGTTTGTCACACTTAAATGTTTCAGATCAAACAAATTTAAATATTAGACAAAGATAACACAAGTAAACACAAAATGCAGTTTTTAAATGAAGGTTTTTATTATTAAGGGGGAAAAAAAATCCAAACCTACATGGCCCTGTGTGAAAAAGTGATTGCCCCCTAAACCTAATAACTGGTTGGGCCACCCTTAGCAGCAACAACTGCAATCAAGCGTTTGCGATAACTGGCAATGAGTTTTACAGCGCTGTAGAGGAATTTTGGCCCACTCATCTTTGCAGAATTGTTGTAATTCAGCCACATTGGAGGGTTTTCGAGCATGAACCGCCTTTTTAAGGTCATGCCACAGCATCTCAATCGGATTCAGGTCGGGACATTGACTAGGCCACTCCAAAGTCTTCATTTTGTTTTTCTTAAGCCATTCAGAGGTGGACTTGCTGGTGTGTTTTGGATCATTGTCCTGCTGCAGAACCCAAGTGCACTTCAGCTTGAGGTCACGAACAGATGGCCGGACATTCTCCTTCAGGATTTGTTGGTAGACAGCAGAATTCATGGTTCCATTTACCACAGCAAGTCTTCCAGGTCCTGAAGCAGCAAAACAGCCCCAGACCATCACACTACCACCACCATATTTTACTGTTGGTATGATGTTCCTTTTCTGAAATGCCGTGTTACTTTTACGCCAGATGTAATGGGACATACACCTTCCAAAAAGTTCAACTTTTGTCTCGTCAGTCCACAGAGTATTTTCCCAAAAGTCTTGGGGATCATCAAGATGTTTTCTGGCAAAACTGAGACGAGCCTTTATGTTTTTTTTGCTCAGCAGTGGTTTTCGTCTTGGAACTCTGCCATGCAGGCCATTTTTTGCCCAGTCTCTTTCTTATGGTGGAGTCATGAACACTGACCTTAATTGAGGCAAGTGAGGCCTGCAGTTCTTTGGATGTTGTTCTGGGGTCTTTTGTGACCTCTTGGATGAGTCGTCGCTGCGCTCTTGGGGTAATTTTGGTCGGCCGGCCACTCCTGGGAAGGTTCACCACTGTTACATGTTTTCGCCATTTGTGGATAATGGCTCTCACTGTGGTTCGCTGGAGTCCCAAAGCTTTAGAAATGGCTTTGTAACCTTTTCCAGACTGATAGATCTCAATTACTTTGTTTCTCATTTGTTCCTGAATTTCTTTGGATCGCAGCATGAGGTCTAGCTTTTGAGGATCTTTTGGTCTACCTCACTTTGTCAGGCAGGTCCTATTTAAGTGATTTCTTGATTGAGAACAGGTGTGGCAGTAATCAGGCCTGGGTGTGGCTAGAGAAATTGAACTCAGCTTTCCAAAGATGTGATAAACCACAGTTAATTTATGTTTTAACAGGGGGGGGCAATCACTTTTTCACACAGGGCCATGTAGGTTTGGATTTTTTTTTTCCCTTAATAATAAAAACCTTCATTCAAAAACTGCATTTTGTGTTTACTTGTGTTATCTTTGTCTAATATTTAAATTTGTTTGATGATCTGAAACATTTAAGTGTGACAAACATGCAAAAAAATAAGAAATCAGGAAGGGGGCAAACACTTTTTCACACAACTGTAAGTAAAGAGTACAAGAGCTACGAGTACGGAAAAGTAACTAACTAACTAACTACAGTCTGCTAGCTGCTAGGCTAATTTATGCAGTGTATAAAGCCATAGACATAGAGCTGCTATGTGAAAAGCTTATTTTTTTTGTAATGTTGATGGCTCACACAGATGATTGATATAGATGCAGCTTTTTATATTATGGCAGATTTTTTATTGCACTTTCTAAATAAAAATGGAGTTTGGATTTATCTGATTGCTTGTGTTAATTGATGAAAAAGTAGCCATGTGCAGTTATATAGAAACATTGATGCGATACATTGAGATGCGTAACCGAATAAAACAGTTAGGCCAGTGAAGAAGATTTACTGATGTTTTGTGACTGATGAATGTCATCTTTACTAAAAGCGGGTAACAGAAACAGTAGAACATCAAGCAGGTGTTTTTTTCCCGCTCTACTGCAGGTGGACAGGTAGGCGTACCTGTTGGTGAAGAGCAGGAAGGCCTCCGGCACCACACAGGACTGCAGGTCTGAGAGGAGCTCCATCCCCATGGGACAGGCGCAGTTAACAGCCTGCCGACACCAGAAACAAAGGTGGCTGCATCCGCCGTTATCCTCCGCGCAGCCATTTGTACCTGGAAACGGATTGACAGTGTCAGCGTTTATTTCACAAATCTTTTTTTCTCATGTTCAGTTCACGGCTGTTCAGTAAATCCCCTGAAAAACCTGTCCCCCTTACCATGCGTCTCTGTCACTTTGGTGGCCTTCAGCCCCATCAAATCTGGCAGCTGATCGATGATGATCTCTCGCACGGCCGTGGCTTTGTGGACCCTCTCGATGCTGCGCCTCTGCCAGTCTGTCCAGTAGATGTAGTCCCCCAGCAGGGTGAAGCCGAAGATGTGGGGCAGCTTGTCCTCCAGCAGAGTCTGCCTGTTACTGCCGTCCACGTTGATCACCTGAGACGGGAGACAGCGACACCTTTAGAGCTTTTTCCAAGGCTAGAGTGCACGTTAAAAACATTCGCCATTGTCAAAGCTACTGTAGAATATAATAGTTACATTTTACAACTGTAGGAGAAAAAAAAACCTGGAAAAGTAAAACACTTCCTCTAATGACAACTTTACTTTAATGTCCTTGGTTGCTATTCTGTAGCTGACCCTGACCTTTGACCTCCCAGGGCAGGAGTCCACCCAGGGAGTGATAGATGAGCACATATGATACAGAGGTTGTTGGGTTAAGAAGCGTTTGAAAGGGAAGAGGAGAGTTGGAGGAAACAGGATGGAGGGAGAAACGGTCTGATGAGGCAAAAAGACAAAAAACGGGAATGTCCCCAGGAAGTTATGTGTCCAAATGTGTCCACAAACATCCACAGAGCAGGACAAAATAATGGAAACGTGATTTTCAGCTGAAAGGGGGAATTCCACCCACTTTGACATTTTCACATTTCTTTCTCTGCGTCAGATCACAAGAAGCACACGACGAAAGAAGTGGTCCTGGTCTTTTTTAGCGAGGTGAAATGTGAATCGAAATTGAAAACTTCATTATTTGAAAGCCTATTGAGTTTTATTTAATGTCTCCATGTGAATGGACAGTCCGGAGGACCAAGGTGGTGCTAACATTTAGCCTGAGCTTGATACAACACATGCGCAGCACTAGGAACACAAAGCGCTGCAACGAATACTGGTTCCAGGGGACACTAAAAGGGGACACACAAGGCCGGGAGTTGTTGCCATGGTTTGTCATCAAAGACAGCCATCCGTCAGTGTTGTTGGAAAATCACCTAAAATGTCAGTTTTGTTTGGCTTATTCGGACATTGTGAAGGCATGATTCAGATATTATCATGATAATAAGCACAGCAGATATCTGCAATAACATGTGAATCCAATGCGTCCGTCCATTTGCTTGAGTTTTCTTACTTTGCAGTGCGTTGACTCGTCAAGGCCGAACAACTTCAACACTTCGACAACACAGACATGAAAAGAAACACTAAAACACAAACAAATTTAGAAATTCCCCAATTTGACAACACATCCGTGGCATTAAGACATTTCTTCAGATACAGGAAAACTGAGGCAAAAACTGAACTGAGGTACAACAAAAATTGTTAAATCGATTAATCAGTTAGTTGATCGATAGAAAATGAATGGGCCACTAGTGTAATAATAAATGAATGAAATATCAAACTTTTGACGTTTCCAGCTTCTTAAATGTGCAACAGAGTCAGCAGTTAGAAACCAAATGGTTGAGCAGATGATGTGTGAGTATTTAGCACAAATGGAAATCAAACACGTATATGATTTTGGGAAAATAAAGGGTCCCAGTGCATACAGTGGAGCAGACTGAAATCCCCGTTTTGGCACGTTCCTGGATTCAGCAAAGACATGAAAGGAAACCAATAACAATTCCTCATTGTGGTCTGTTCCACAGCCGCTGGCTTCACTCGCATAGCAAACAGCACATAACAATGACATAGTTATGTGTTGTTTGTAAAATACAGTGGAAACACGGTGGAAGCGACTACTAAAGCCCTCGCAAGGGTTCTTAAAAATTCAGGTTCTGGGAAGCCACACGTTTAGGTTGGTTTCCATATTTTTACGACAACGGCCCCTTTTTCAATGCTGGTCATTAACATATGCCTCGTCAACCATCAGATCTAAAGAGCATTGAGCATGAGGAGGATTCAGTTTCTTATCTTCAGGTGTCCTTTCTTAAAGTGACACTGAGGAACTTTTAACTGCTTATAAAAATGTTTCAATTTAATACTGATGCCTCGATATGACCCACATAAGTAAACGAGACCATCAGCAGTAAGATTGTCTATTTCTATATAATTATTTTTAAGGCTTGTCATCGGTGCCACCGGGTTGGATTCTGGTGAAATCAGATGAAATCATGGAACTTTGAAAGAAACTCTGATGTCAACTGATCGGATGAAAATGCAGAATGAATCCAGGACAGGATGAAAGCAGCTCTGAGTTAAAGTTCCATAAAAACTAGCTGAGAGATTCTTGTTAGTTCTTCATTATCAAAAGTTGTGTTTTCGTTCAATTGAACATTGACGCAAAAAAAAAAAAAAAAAGCGCTTTATGCGTGTTTCAAATCGACTGGTTTGAACATGTAGACTCGCCTACAGAGTAGTTTGGTCAGTAGTTGGCGCTGTAGGCTACACATGGCTGTAATCCGCCAGCAGACAGAGTAGAAGAAGTAGAGGTGGTGAACTAGAAACAAAAAAAAAAAAAATTGGCTTGGCCGTATAACCAGCCATGAGAGAGAAATGGAGAGAGGTCTTCAGGAATTTGTTTCCATTGGGCAAGTTTTAATTGTTCTTTCATGTCAGCTAGGAATGGCCATGTTTCATGCTGTCAGGAGACAAACACAATATACATCCTGGAAGCAGAAACAGCTGATCAGCTGTGTGAGTAGCATGAATTTATTCAGCAAACTCTTTTTCAAAAAAGACAAAAAAACACCTCATGTTAGCGTAAAAAC